GGCCCCGTCCCTGGCCCCGTCCCTGGCCCCCTCTCACCCACGTGGCGTCGTTGTTCACCACCACCAGCGCGAACTCGTGGCACTTGTCGATCTTGTGCTTGGTCCTCACGAACATCTCGATCATCTTCTGGGAGATGTTCAGCGCGTTGGTCTTGGACCTGCCACGGGGGGAGAGGGGCTCAGCGAGGTTCAGCGGGGCCCAGCAGCCCCCTCCCAGCGCCCCCCGAGCAGCCCCCACCACTCACCCGTTGAAGGACTCCAGTTTGGGCACTGCCATCTCCTCGGCCAGGTCCAGGCAGATGATCTGCGGGAGAGGGAGACACAATTGAGCCCCCCCAGCCCCTCACCCCGGGGTCAGGGCTGACCCCTGCTCAGCCCTCCTGCATCCCCCCCGTATCCCCACACCCACCTGATGCATCCCTTCAGCATCTGCCCTGGTAATTCCTCAGTGGAATGCTGGGGGGATCCCCAGCATCCTCCCTGTTCAGTATCCCCCCAGCATCACCAGTATCCCTCCAGCATCTTCCCAGTATCCCCACAACATCCTCAGTATCCCCCAAAATCCTCTGATAACTCCCCAGTATCCCCCCAACACCCTCCCTGACAACTCCCCAGCATCCCCCCAGCATCTTACCCGATAACCCCCCAGTATTCCCCCAGCACCCCCAGCGCCCCCCCGGCAGCCACTCACCACCTTCTCGGGGCAGTTCACGCGGGGGGTCTTCACCTGCACCTCGGTGGGGGCGGCGGGGCCGGGCCAGGCGGTGCCGTCGGGGCCGGCGGGTCCCTGCGGGCTGTGGTCGGCGCTGGCGGCCTCGCCCTCGCCCTCGCTGCGGTTGCCCACGCTGGCCTGGGCGCTCAGCGCCCGGTCCTCGGCGCCCTCGGGGTTCGAGCGGGTCCGGGGCCGCGGCTCGGGCGCCTTCTCCTCATCCTCCTCGGCCGCGCTGCCCGGCTCCGACGTGTCCATCCCCGCGGGGATCCGACGGCGATCACGGGGGGCTGGAGGGGGGTCACGGTGCGGCTGGGACCCCGCAACGCCCCGGCCCCCGGTCCTGGGCACCCCCTGCCCGCTCTGGGCACCCCCTGCCCACGCTCCCCCTGCCCCCCAAACGCCCCCCAC